TTTCAAAGGGTACATGAAACAATCGTATCATTTTATTTACAGATGGCGCCAGTTTTGAGATATTTATATTTACTGATCATTACTTTTCTTGAAAATGGAAATCCTAACTTTTTATAACGATTAATCTTTTTCTAACGATTAATTTGGACAACTTTTGTCTGAAATATTTCTTTATTTGCCTAATATTTTTCGAGATATTTAAGAAAAACTTGATAATTTTTTCAATATTTCATTTACAATATCTCACTAGTTGTTTGTCGAAAGAAAAAATAATACTAAACATTTTTATTCTACTGAATCTCAAAAATATATTGTTACAATAGTACCCTAACTTTTGTTAACTTAACGACTTTTGGAAATTTCAAAATCATCAAATTAACAAAGGTCAGGGTATTGTTGTAACAATATATTTTTGAGACTAAATAGAGCAAAAAAGTCTAGTACCACTTTCTCTTCTGACAAATAGTTAGCGAGATACCATTAAATATTGAGTTAAATATTGAAAAAGTTATTAAGTTTTCCTTAAATATCTCAAAAAATATTAGGTAAATAAAAAAATGTTTCAGATAAAAGTTGTTCAAATTAATTGCTAGAAAAAGATGATGTAATAAAAAATTGGGGTATCCACTTAAGATTTTTATGTGAATTTGACTGGACTTTTCGAGGTTATCCCAAGGTTAAATTCATAGCGTCAGTAAATAGATCCTTTGAAGCCCTACAAATTTTGTTTGAAATATTTTTCTCTAAAATGCCGCGTTAACAAAAAAACGGGTGACCCGGGTGGTCTGAAACACCCGGTATACGCGCTAGTGTAGCATCGCATGTGGTTTCATTAAATATTTTACGCATTTTGTTATACATTATAAGCTGGTGAGCAAGAGTTGGTACAACTGATTTGCTTGATAGATAATTGCTAACCTTTGCTCATATTCTGTATCGCCAAGAAATAATAAATTTATGATTTGTTGGATTAATATAACGGGATCATTTGTTTCCATTATAAAATTATCGGTTAGAGCGACAAATCATAAGTAACAAATCATTTGTTACCACAACGGAGTGAGTTGTTGTCCTATATTAAGAAACCATTTGTTGTGGTTACTGAATTTGTTAATTTCACAAAATCTTTTTTCTCAGTGCTGGTGAATGAAGGCGGTTTGTTTTATTTCGTCTTCCGCTCGTAATCTTGATTTTCACGTATCTATATTTTATTATACACAAGATCAAAAGGTATCAAAAGGTAAAAGCGACTGATTAGAAAGTGCAAGCTTAAGTAGAATACATAATGCGTATAAACTTTTTGCGTGTTCTCTATAATTTACTAAATACAGCGCTTTATGATTTACTAAATACAGCGGTCGTACGGAAACCTTTTAATATTTCGGAAAAAAATACGTTTTTTCGAAAAGGATGTTTCATACAAAAGTTGTAGGATTTTACGCGAAATATTACGCAATAAAAGTAGTGTGATAGAGTTTTTTTTTTTCAAGGTCATCTAAAAATTTAAGATGCAAAATTTTCTCAAAGTAATCTTTACGCGACTTTGATAACGTTATTCAAGATTATATTAATTTCATCACTTAATGCGTCATTTAAAACTTACAACTTTTGTATAAAATATTTTTTTCGAAAATGCATATTTTTCGAAATATTAAGAAGTTTCAACGCTTTTTTCGTGCATCCATATAAAAAAGAAACACTGTATAAACTATAGCGAATACAAATAAAGATATATGCATGTTAGATGTCCTATTCAAGCTCCTCTTTCATCTTTATATGTATACATGTATAGTGTTATTAGCAAACGTATATATTTGTTTCCTGCGAGTAATGCGTTTCTAAGATAGCTTCGTGAAAAAATCACGCTTCAAGATTCTAAAACAGGCCACACACTCGCCGGGTTTCTTCCCGTGCTAGCTTCGCATTACTTCTATCCTACAGTACGCATCGAAGGGTATCGTTTAAGCAGCTTCGAGCGTAGAAGCCTCTAGAAAAGATCTTAATGCTATTCAAACCGTTTCGAGGAAAGACTACGTCTTGTAAAATCGTAAGAGGATACAATATCATATGACTGACTCGTAGCGGCATTAGGCAGAGTTCTCTTTCTTTCTTTCATTCTTTGTCTCTCTTGAGAGATGAAAGACTGGCGGTCTTCGACGCGTATATACGATGAATATCCCGCGAGACGCCATTCGAGTGGTTCTTGGCGGAAAAACAAATCGATAATATATAGAATAAACGTATCTAAGATTGTTTCCGGAACAAACGGCATTGAAAGATTTTCAGGAGAATTTGTAACCTGTAATACTGGAGAAAGGTAAGAGTTTAGAAAGCTGCTCAAGTCCAATTTTGACGTAACTTTACAGTCGCGCGGGATATTCGTCGTATATACGTACGCGTCGAAGAATCCACAAATGTGAAGTTGTAGAAATGCTTAGTTTTCGAGATATTCGATATTCGATATTTTCGAGATACTAAATTAAACTTAACCTAATTTGCCTGTAAGTTATGCACCGTTCTTCACCGGTTAACTCTCTGACCGGTGCCTTCGTTTCGGAAACTATTCAAAGCCTGAAGCATCCTCGTCCAAAGTCCACCGCTATATACCGCTATGTACTCGATGAATTCGGTATATCATATATTATAGTTTCGCAAGAGCACTTGATTGAGTCCAATTGATCGCCCGCTTTTATCGAGTTTCATTATTATCACCATAGACATAGTATATCTAGACCGCGAGTTCTCCCAAATTTCAAGAGTGGGGGTATAACTCTCGTAGAAAAGGAAGCACTCTGTTTTTACTTGTTCGTTCTCTCTCGCACAGTCCCGTTGGAAGGGGAATAGGGGCGGTGGTTACTGTACAGTGCTGTACAGCAACTGCCTCCCCTATACCCCTTCTATCGGGACTGTGCGAGAGAGAACGAACAGTAAAAACAGAGTATATCCTTTTCTACGTGAGCTATAACCCCACTCCTCGAACACGCAGTCTAGATATACTATGTCTATGATTGTCACCTTGAAAGATTTCTTGCTCTAATCGAGCCCAGGACTATTGCTCATTTGCTTCAGCCAATGACAGTCCGTTGTGACAGTCCAATGGCAATCTGTCTTTTACAAATACTTTCAAAGACGCAACAGCGCAGAAACAATACTCGAAATGAACACACGTGAGAAGTGCCAAATATTATAAATTTGATAGTGAACCAATGCATTTTCCGAGCTCCTGCCTATATATTACTACTGAGTAACCAAAACTTGAATTTAATTGATAATACATCAAATCTTCTACCTTCCTACAATGATGATCTACCACATACTAAAAATGCACTTATAAAGATTGGCCCCAACGCAAATAAAAATTGTATAAAGTTGAAAAATAATTTTTCCGTACAAATTATTAATTAAGCCACATAGATAATTAAAATTAATGTTAGATTTCTCCATTTATCTCGTAGATGCTGATAATATAATAAGATATAAAAAAATTAATATTAATAAATAAATAAATATAAGTAAATAAAAATAAATATATTTTAATCTTTTGTTTTTTTTCTTTATAACAATAATATTTTGCCAAGATTGTATAATTTTTTAATGTGCTTAATATAATATAAAATAACAGTAATAATATTCTTATAATATAATAATTAATATAATATTCTTAATATAAAACTAGTCAGTAAAATATTTTTAAATTTTTATTATTTTTTCATATTAAAATATTAAAAAAACAAATTGAATCAAATATTAAAAATTTTAATATTTCAAAGATAATATTTCTTTTCATTGAGCATTTCCGCAACTCGGCACTTACGGATTCAATTACGCGTACATTTTTAATATTATGCATTTGTAAAACTTCATCGAAATCGGATTACATCAGCCTTCTAAAGTTGAGTCTTAAAAACATTTTTGTTTAATCTCATTTCGGAATATGTGTGTATGTATGTGTGTGAATAATATAATACGAAGCGGCATTATTATAGAGGAGAAGGTGGTATTATGGTCACTTTCAATATCTCCATTATTAGATGGCGAATTCCAGTTACTTGTGGAATCATTTGTTAGTGCATTGATGCTAATATATTAGTATACAATAGCTAACACTTTTTACAACGCATTTTTAGTTTCGAATATTTCGAAAAGTTTTTCAAAATACATTTCAACATTTAACTAGACATGTTTCCTCATTATTTTTAAACTTGAGCTTATCATCACATGAATTTATATGCTTATCATTACATGAATTTATATACAATTGAGTATTTTGTTTTGTTACTTGACATTTTATTCGGCTGTACACCTTTCAAGTTTTGCGAAGTTAAATGAAATAGCGTGATATTTTGATAATGTGGCTCCATAAGAGTGTTGATAAACATTGTCTCTTTCTCAAGGTTTTTATACCAAAGTAATTATTCGATTCTAATCTGTAGTCCGCTGTTTCACTTATGTTTGCATTTATATTTCCACTTATGTTTGCTGCCTTTCTGGCAGATTGAATTCCCTAACAAGTATGTTAATATTTACATTAAAAATTCGCAGTTATACTCATTATTATTTCCCTTCTAAGAGTTTAATTTGAATAAATATATAATTTCCTAACTAAGCACTTTGTATTATTTTAAACAAAATCAATTTTTTATACCGGTTTTGGTAACAGGCCACATTACCACACCCCATTTTCTCGCCGATCCATTATGTTATGTTGCCACATTTTTGTAAATAACATCCCAAGTGATAAACATTAAGTAAATTTGAGTCTATACTCGATTAAACAACACGTGACAAATGTAATCGTTCAGTTCTTATCTTAAAATATTGATTATTGACGAGAGTTATTGTACGAAATGTGAATGGAGTGTCTTAACACCACCTTCTCCTCTACATGTTATTATACTAACCGATATAATGTGTCTTATCTATAGCATAATATAATTATACATCTCTGATAATCGGCAGCCGAGATTGACCTTAATTTTAATCAGACTATTTGACAAGTAGTCAATATTCGTTGCAATAAGAGAGTATCGCTGTTATATGATTTTGCGCATAACGACGATATCTGTATCTAAATTATATCATATCTATTGCGTGAAACTGGCTACGTAATCTTGTTTACTCCGCGGTTTTATCGCGACCGATATTTGTTCCCTTTCTGCGATCGATAATTGTGTGAAGAAGAACATTATCGTCTTCAAGACATCTACGAAAAATAGCCTCCTCATAATGCCGTGTCATTGATACAATAATGGCTGTTTCCGTTCATGCTATTTTTCCAGCCACATATCAATGCGTGTCAGCTATTCTACATGATAATCAAGTAGCAGCTGCGTAATTTTCCCCAGACAATGCTACGTATCAAAGTGTTGCGTTCCCGGTTCATTTTCGATGTACCATTTTATATACCTCTCTCTTTCTCTCTCTTTCTCTCCCCCTCTCTTTCTCTGTCTACTCGACGGGCTGCGGGATATCTTGTATCTTGCGTTTCCTTACCGGAGCTAAAGAGAGGCTAAACGCGCACGCGCGCGCTTGCCCGCGAACAAACAATTAAATTTCTTCCCTCTAGCAAACGGGACCCGGGCTCGAAGTCCGTTTGTTTGGCCGCGATGAATTTGGCGTGATTACTAACGCAACAGCGGGTATTATTCGGCAATCGTCGGCCGCTGTTTACGCAATTGCCAGGCCCGCACGTGTTATTCCGCATTTATCATCGCGCAGGCTTGTTGTTTCAACTGCCGCTTTCGAAGGGATGCGACTAACACACGCAAAGCGGATGCGTGTTCTTCCAGTGATAGTTATCAGGCGGGAGCGATAAGGCGCGCGCCTTATCTCTTGCTCTAGGCAGCCCGGAGAGAGATCGCGCACAATTAAAACGCGACCGGCGGCACGGTATCGCCGCGCGACGCCGCCGTTTCCTTTGTCTGACCGTCCGCGGTGCGTCTCGGCGAGTCTCGCCGACTTTCGCGGCGAGAGAGCGAAGAGACTGAGCGAGGGAAGGAAGCCAAACGGACACGCGCCATTGGCACCACCGATGCCGCTCTGCCGAGGAGGATAAACCACGGTCCACTGCAGAGACTCTACGGTCAGCTCGAATCGTCGTTCCTCCCGCGCGAACGTCCTTCTCCAGGATCCCTCGGGCCTGTTTCTCAGTGTTTCCCGTCGCGGGACCGGTTGCGCGGCGCGCGACGATGAAGATCTACGACTGCGGGCCGGACAACAAGATCCGGCTGTACCTGAGACAGCTGCTGACCGCCCTGGCGCCGCTGCTGGGCATCACGGCGTCCGGCATGTCCAACGGCTACAGCGCGATCCTGCTGCCGCAGCTGAAGTCGTTGGCGCTGAACGGCAGCGACTTCTCGGCGGACGCCGGGAGCGCCGGTCACCTGGGGATGCTCAGCATCGACCAGGAGTCGTGGATCGCGGCGGCCTCGGTGCTGCCGATGGCTCCGGGCTGTTGGACCGGCGGCTTCATGGCGGAGCGGTTCGGCCGGAAGAAGTCAGTGCTGCTGTTGTTCCCCGTGTTCTTCGTCGGCTGGCTGATCATCGGCCTCGCCGGCAACGTGGAGACTCTGGTGGCCGGCAGGCTGCTCGTCGGCTACTGCATGGGCATCCTCGCGCCCATCGTGCCGATCTACGTGAGCGAGACGAGCGACCCGCTGTTGCGCGGCATTCTGCTGGGAGCGATCGGCCTGAGCCTCTCGATGGGCATATTGGCGTGTCACGCGATGGGCACCTGGCTGCACTGGCGGACCACCGCCTACGTCTGCGGCGCGCTGCCGCTGGTCTGCTGGCTCATCAGCTTGTTCTCGCGCGAGAGTCCGATGTGGCTGCTCGCCAGGGGCGAGCTCGAGCGGGCCAAGCGCTCGTGGCTGTTCCTCCGCGGCGAGGGCTCCCTCGAAGAGTTTTCCCTGCTGGAGACGTCCAGGTTAGCGGCGGTGTCGAGGCGGCAGGAAGCGCCGAGCGAGCAGAAGCGGTGGCCGGCGGTGCTGGGCTCCTTACAGGAGACCTGGTCCTCGCGGCACTTCCTCAAGCCGCTCGCCATCGTCTGTCTATACTTCTTCACCACGCAGTTCGCCGGTGCCAACGTCATGAGTTTCTACTGCGTGGAGATGCTGGCGAACGTGCCGGGGCTAACGGACGCGTACTCGATCACCCTGCTGATCGACGCGATTCGCCTGACGTTCGGCGTGATCGTGTGCGCGCTCATGAAGTCGTGCGACAGACGCGCCATGACATTCCTGTCCGGCTTCGGCGTGGCCGGCGCATTGTTGTCGCTGAGCGCGTGCCTGACGTTCGACATCGGCCAACCGTGGGCGCCCGTGCTCTTGCTCTTCGTGTACATCGCCCTGCTGCCGCTGGGACTGGTGCCCTTGCCGTGGCTGCTGTGCGGCGAGCTGTTCGCGACGAACACTCGCGAGCTCGGCTCCGGACTCGCGTCCGCCTTCGGTTTCATCTGCTTCTTCGTGGTGATCAAGACGACGCCCGCGATGATGGAGTTTATCCGGCCCGCCGGCACGTTCGCCGTCTACGGCTGCGTGGCGCTGGTCGGCACCAGTATTCTCTATTTTGTCCTACCCGAGACGAAGAACAAGACCCTGCTGGAGATCCAGGCGATCCTCGACAGGAAACCGAGCGCGCTCGCGCGACTGCAAAACATGGACATTCCGATTCTCAAGTGCGAGTTTATCGACAAGAGCGCGAGTCTAAAGAAGGACGTGGCGCCCGAAAAATGATGACCGTTTTATATGACAGACCGACAGTATAAAAGTATGTGTGCGTGTGTGTGTGTGTGTGTGTGTGTGTGCGTCTTCTCATTGTAGTCGACAAATCGACTGAATATTCGCGTATTTATGCGATGCGATGAAAATAAATCGATGATCTTGCCTTAAGAGCTAACGTCACGGTTGAGGCTGGAAAATGATACCTAAGTTTGAGCATTTTTTTTACAAGTAGAAAAATAAATTTTGTTGAAAAATCAAATGCAAGTCTGTATTGTACAACTATCGAACTGTACAAGCATATTTTTACTCCATTTTCTTTTTCAAAATAGCGGCAGTTCTTCTGGAGACGTGTTTTTTTTTTTTCGTTGGGATTTCCAGCTCCGGCCTGGTTGGATCTGGAACAATCAGGCAAAGATTGTTATTATCTACATACGTAAAAAGCTTTCGAGTACGTAGGATTTTTTCGAAACGTTTGAATTTTTTGTGCAATAACCATTTGTTTGACAAAATTTTAAGGTAAGAAATTAACTTTTCTTCCAATAACGTGCCAAATTGCGAAAAATTAGCATTTCTCTAAAATTCTATGTACTCGAAAGGTTTTATGTATGTAGACAATAAAAATCTTTGCCTGACTGTTCCAGATCCATCCAGGCTAGAGCTAGAAGTCTCACTGTTTTTTACGAAAAAGAAAACACGCCTCCAAGGAGTTGCCACAATATGCCGCTATTTTGAAAAAGAAAATAGAATAAAAATATGTTTGTACAGTTCGATAGTTGTATAATACAGGCCTGCATATGATTATTCAATAAAATTTATTTTTCTACTTGTAAAAAATGCTCAAACTTAGGTATCATTTTTCGGCCTCAACCGTGGCGTTACCTCTTAATGCGGGATTCTCTTCCTCTCTTTCTCTTTCCCTCTCCTTCCCGTCTGAGCGCTTCTCTATCGTATTAGATGTTTGAAGTTTTCGCTGTTTTCCAAGAAACATCGTAACGAGTACCACATGCATAGAATTTCCAGTAGTAACGCATGTATACGAGAGTACTATAAACAAGCTTTCATTTAGTATATGACATTTGGTGGACGTGTAAACAATATTTGGATCAACAATGTTTGGGATCAACAAGGCCTGGTGTTATGCGCTGCTGCAACCGTGTCAGACCATCAATAGCGGACGTTACCGAGAACATTTATTTAATTAATGAATTTAATTAATGAATTTGAACCGAGTATTGGAAGACAAACATCTAGAATATGCCAAAAGACATGACAAAGTGATTTTGTTACACGATAGTGCTTGACCACATGTTGCGGAACCAGTCAAGAATACGTGGGAAGCACTCGACTTTGACCGCCATATTTCCCAAACCTGGCTCCTGATTATCATTTGTTTCTGTCCATGCAGCATGGCCTTGCGCAGCACTTCACTTCGTATGAAAATATTAAAAATTGGCCACTGGACCGCTTCGAAGAAACTAGAGTTCTTCTGATCGCGGAATCCACATGTCGCGCGAAAAGTGCGAAAAGGTTATAGCCGACGATGGGCACACTACTTTGAATAAACTATTCTTTCTGCTTCTCATGAAACACAGATCTTTTATTTCACAAAAGAACGGCGGCAATTTATTAAGTACCCAATGAGATGCACGGAAAATGTGCGCGTGTTTGGGAAAAATCCGCGCGGTTTGTACATTAACCTTTTGAGGCATAGTGGTAAGTATACTAACCACTTATTTATTCTCACATTTTCATGAAATACAATATTTCTTATTTGAGGGATTCTTGCTGAGTTTTTTGCGTTTTTTAGCTTCTTATATGATATGGGAACGTACATGAAAGGTTAAAAAGTGTTTTGCATAAGTTGTCCATTTATTAATCCATTAAATAAACAAAATGTGAAAAATACACATTTTTACAAAAAACATCGTTTTCCACGAACTATGAGTGAAGTTTTTGCTCAAAATCAAGATTTGGGGGTTTTTTGAACCGCTAATTACGAATCTGAGGTCCAAATTCCAAAATTAATTTTTCAAAATGGCGGATTCAAGATGGCGGATCTCAAAATTTTTATTAAATTATCTAAAATTGTACTCTGGTTAATTTTTGAGGTCGCTGATTACGAATCCGAGGTCCAAAACTCATTGTTCAAGATTACAGATTCAAGTTCAGCGGATCATGGAATTCTAATATATTTACATGACATTGTCTTGCGATTAGTTAATTTTTCATATTTGTGGTCCATCTTGAATCCGCCATCTTGAATTTGGAAAATCTGATAACCGATTCGTAATCAGCGACTCCAAAAACTCCACAATACCCATTGTCACCGAAATTATCGCGATTTTTCATTTTTGCGTCCGCCATCTTGGATCTTGAATTTCGAAAACCTGATAACGGGATTCGTCATCACCGAGCCCAGAAACTCCCATATATAAAATTTCATGTGATTCGGATTTTATGAAAAATACGTGCTTCAAAGGGTTAGAAGTCGGACGTCGAGGTTAGAGTTCCGCCCGCGGCGGGGACGCGTCCGTTCGACGATGATGCTGCCGTTACTGCCGCTATTGCGCGCGGCGGACGCTCGCGCTACCGCAAGCAATTTCGCGTTGCCGTTAGTGACGACGCGACGCATCCTTCGACCGGATATATATATTTCGGACGTGCCGTAAAATTAACCGATGCGTCGGAATAATGATTCTCTGCGGCCAGCGGGGCGAAGCTGCGAGAGCAATAGAAATTTAACTGCGAGCGAGCAAGCGAACGAGAGAGAGAGAGGGAGAGAGAGAGAGAGAGAGAGAGAGAGAGAGAGAGAGAGAGAGAGAGAGAGAGAGAGAGAGAGAGAGAGATAGAGATAGAGAGAGCCTTGCCGCGGCACGGCCAACCGTAAAATTGCGTTCTCACGTGATTATTGCTCGGACCACTTACCGCAGCTGATGGAAATTACCGCTCGTCCCGGCGCTCGCGTGACGTTTTGCGGGCCGCGCGATGACTTAGGCGCGTACGTAAGTGAAATATGACGGCGGCGCTGTCGGGCTTATTAAAATGCAAGGAATCCTCGATTTATCGCTCCTTGTCGCGACGGAGTTTGTCGCGCTTTACCGTCTCTCTCTCTCTCGCTCTCGCTCGCTCTTTCTCCCGCACTAAACGGAGGCAGCGACGCGTAGCGAGTCGATCCAAGTAGAGAGACTACGTTAACGTTCGCGAGCACCGAGGGGCTCGCTGAGGCAGCGGCGAGTTTAACTTTGTCTTCGTGCTCGGTGCATTTTTTGCGCGCCCGTCGCTCGCTAGCCGCACGGCTGTAATTCGCGTAAGCGGCCGTTCGAGAGCGCTCGTTTTTCCTCGCGGTATGATTTCAATCCCGGGCAGGATGAGGAGCGAGCGAGCGAGCGAGCGAGCCGCGAGAAGAGAGTCGCGTTAAATTCAGGCGGTCTTTCTCTTTTTAATTTCATCCCCAATCCCGGGGTTCATTACCCTCCTTTCCTCCAAACCCGCTCTCATTCGGTCCGTCTCGCGCTGATTATCGCGAGCACGCAATACGCTCGTTACAAGCAAGATCCTCGCTTCTCTCCTGAACGCCGCTCGGTCGTTCATCGGAACGACGACGCTCTTCCGCACGGAGAGAAGAGAGAAAGAGAGTGAATGTGTCCGAGTCCGATCTTCCCCTCGGGCGAGAAATATCAGCGAGGAGCAGCGTGTTTATCCGCTGCTCCGCTTGCGTCGTTTGTCTTCGCCGCACGATTTCGCGTTTATTAGCCCGTGAATTATAATGCCGATCGGGCCGATCGGCGGCTCGCAAAGTCGCGCAACGCGCACGACGTGGAGAGACGTCGTCGGCGGAATCGCCGCTCGATGCCGGATCGGCTGGGATTTGACGGTCCGAAAGATTTCACGTACGACGGAACACGGGGCCGAAAGGAAAGTCGGCGATATCAAATGTGATTTATGACGATAAGGACAATCTCGGCCCAATTTCCCACGCGCGACGTGCCCGAACTGCATATAATCTTCATGAATGCGTAATGACCCGTCATGCGTCCTCTCCTGTGGCCCATTCGGGAAGGTCCCGTGTAATGGAGGGGAATAAAAACTAGGTGATCCCTGCGCGATAGCACCTCGCCAATGGCGAGGTTTTTGCGTCACGATGAAGCCCTTCAGGCTTTCTCTCTCTCCCTCCCTCCCTCCCTCTCTTTCTCTCTCTCTCCCTCTCTTTCTCTCTCTCTCTCTCTCTCTCTCTTTCTCTCTCTCTTTCTCTCTTTCATTCCTCGTCGTCCTCACCGTACTCACTGCCACCACGGGGAGCTTAACCCGGAAAATGCAGTCGAGCGAGGACGTTTAGCGCTCTCGATTCGAGCGACCATTGGCCGTCCCCATCGGCTCAGATCGGATCCTTTCCGCTGTCGTCGTTTATGCATGACGAACGCACACCGCGACTCATACATCACAAACGGACTCGCTCCTAGATTGTATTACATATTTACAGAGGGAATTTTCAGAGTACGTGCGAGCCGTACAAAGCGAAACGTGAATAACGAAAGACCCCGTCTCGAAGGGGGAGGTTGCGAAGAAAGTACGAGACTAATGAGTGCCGAGTCTCGCCGAATCAGAAAGGGAAATCCAGAAGACGAAGACGGTTTGTTATTATCAGCGCTTAGGAGAAGCTGACGTGCGTCAGACCTCGGCGATTCCCGCGAGGGACGGGCCAGTCACACCGGAACGCGCGAGACTTCGCTAACAGAGAACAATTAATTTTTCACGCCGGGCGTCGCATCGCGCAAAAAGACCGAATGTAGACTGACATTTTTAGCAGCTAGACGCCCCGGCGCCGATGCTAATTTCGGAGATAATGCGCGACAGCCACGCGCAATCCGCCGGCGCGGCGCGACTCGGCAAAAACGCGCGACAGCATGATCCAGCGGCGAATTTACGGGCGAAATGAAAATGTAACGCCGTGTAACTCGACGGGGTCCCGCGGATCACTATGCGCCGTCGCGCGCCCCGACCCGTGCCACCTCCGCGAGCTTTATGTACTTCATAAACATTCCTCGCGGTCTACTCATCATCGTCCGCCGTCCTCTGTGTTTGCGGTTCAGGAATAACATCTTGTTCGGCGCGCAGCGACGCGACGCGACGCGACGCGACGCGACGAGACAAGACGAGACGCGTCTCTTTCTCCACGGCGACCACTTTCGTAATCTGTCTCGGCCGATCGCGCTTAGCGAACGTAAATTGCGAAAAACTCGAGAAATTCAGAGCAGCGCGGCCGGCGTCGAGGCCGACGAGGCGATAAAGCGCGACTTGGTCTGCATTAAGGGAGGAATCCTGTCCGTAGGCCAAAAAAAGAAATAGATTATTTTCAGGAATCTTTTTCGGAAACTGAGCGGACGATTGATTTCAAACTTGGTGGAAATAATAATATATATTTAACTTGTAAGAGTGAATTTTTACAGTGCTATATGAATAATAATGTAGCAGGTATACAAAAAATAACGTGACGCGTTTAGGCGCGTGCCGTTTCACGGCTCCCATAAAATCTCGAGGTACGGTTAGGGATTGGGACAAAAACGCAAGATAATTAATCTACGAACTCGTCGCTATCGTCTGAACTAGGGAAATGAAAAACGAACTTTTTCAATAATTTTAAGGCATTTAGAAATTATATTTGAAAAATCGTCATAAAAATCGACAGTTTTACGTTAAAAATAAATATAAAAAGTTAATATTTTTTAATTTCGCTAGTTCACACAATAGAGAGACATGTTTCGAATATGTATTGGGTCTATGCACATAATTCCGTAGCGAAATTCCGACAGATGTCGTTCGCAGTTGTTTTTCCGCTCGCACATGTGTCAAACATATGAAGCGTCGTACATTAAGTGACAGCTGAAATTTACGCCGACATTTTAAGAAAGTCTCGATATTCATCGAGATCCGTAACGTATGCGAAGTTTAATTATATTTTGAACATGGAAAGAAAAACGTATATTTTCGGTGCATTTCGCTTTTTTATTTCCGAAAAGGTAAAAACGCGTCGCAAACTCACAAAAAGATATGCGCCGTGTACGGAGAGAATGCCGTAAGCGAAAGTGTGTGTCGGAAGTGGTTTGCGAAATTTCGTTACGGAGATTTTGATCTCCGAGATGCTTCTCGCTCTGATCGGCCAGTCGCTACTGATGTCGATCGAATCAAGGCTTTAATCGACTCCGACCGGCATTTGACGACTATAGAGATCGGACATAACCTCAACGTTGACCAATCAACTGTTTCGAGACATTTACGGAAGCTTGGAATGGTAAACAGCTTAATGTTTGGGTGCCGCACGAACTGTGTGAAAAGAATTTAATGGACCGAATTTCAGCTTGCGATTTGCTGCTCAAACCCCATCAAAACGAACCATTTTTAAAGCGGATGATCACTGGCGATGAAAAGTGGATTGTTTACAACAATGTCAGTCAGGCTAGATTACACCCGAAGAAGGTCGTGCTCTGTATCTGGTGGGATTGGAAAGGAATCGTCTATTATGAGCTGCTGCCACCCAACAATACGATTGATTCGACCAAGTACTGCTCACAACTGACCAAATTAAAGCGAGCAATCGATCAGAAGCGGCTCCGAATTGGCGAACAGAAAGGGCATTGTGTTCCACCAGGACAACTAGGCTAGATCACACGTTTCTCTGATGACCCGGCAAAAGTTATTGCGGCTTGGGTGGGATGTTTTGGT